TTCCTCCTTTCCTTACCTTACGTACTAAATACTATCTACTATTTCTTCCTTTTCTTACCTATACTAAATCTATCTCTATTCCTCCTTTTCTTACCTATACAAATCTATCTCATTTCCTCCTTTTCTTACCTGTACAAATCTATCTCATTTCCTCCTTTTCTTACCTGTACAAATCTATCTCATTTCCTCCTTTTCTTACCTATACAAATCTATCTCATTTCCTCCTTTTCTTACCTGTACAAATCTATCTCATTTCCTCCTTTTCTTACCTGTACAAATCTATCTCATTTCCTCCTTTTCTTACCTATACAAATCTATCTCATTTCCTCCTTTTCTTACCCTTAGTATTTTCTATCGCTATGTCTTTATTTTTTACTCCTTTTTTTTTTCTGTGTATACAACGATCTCTTTCAAACATGGCCTGGGGTAGATCGCTCGACTTGTAATTTAATCTGTATGTCGGGGGTTCGAATTCCTTCCTCTAGGGGCGTTATACTGCAACGGTCATCATACCTTCCGTTGGTAATAGATTATTCCAAGAGTAGGTGGTAGGTTGTGTTGACTAGTTCATTTCTAAACTAGTTTGTTGTTTGTTAATATCTGTTCTGCGCCCACCTAGGGTATCGAAACCCGTGTTTGTTGATACGTTTCCCATGTCTTTTCGTCTCTCTGATCTCTTTGTCATCTTCTTCACCTCATTCAATGACTGGAACCTTTTCCTTGTCATTCATAAGCGTTAGTTTTTCTTTCACTGAAAGTTGTTTCTTCCATATTTCTATGTTACTCTATTCTTTCTTTTTCTACCTTTCCATTGTGTTAAACAAACTTTTTATTAACAACTTCAGCCTTCCAGCGTATTAAACAACACGTTTTATTTATCACTTCAGCCTTTCCAGCGTGTTAAACAACAATTTTTATTAATCACTTCAATCTTTCCTTTGCGTTAAACAACAATTTCTATTAATCGCTTCAACCTTTCCAGCGTGTTAAACAACAATTTTTATTAATCACTTCAACCTTTCCATTGCGTTAAACAACACTTTTTATTAATAACTTCAGCCTTTCCAGCGTGTTAAACAACCATTTTTATTAATCACTTCAACCTTTCCATTGCGTTAAACAACACTTTTATTAATAACTTCAGCCTTTCCAGCGTGTTAAACAACACTTTTTATTAATAACTTCAGCCTTTCCAGCGTGTTAAACAAATTTTTTATTAATCACTTCAGCCTTTCCAGCGTGTTAAACAAAATTTTTTATTAATCACTGCAGCCTTTCCAGCGTGTTAAAAAACACTTTTTATTAATAACTTCAGCCTTTCCATTGCGTTAAACAACACTTGTATTAATAACTTCAGCCTTTCCAGCGTGTTAAACAACAATTTTTATTAATCATTTCAACCTTTCCATTGCGTTAAACAACACTTCTATTAATAACTTCAGCCTTTCCAGCGTGTTAAACAA